AAGAATAAAAAGAAAAGTGGAAGCGCCTGAATCATTGTGATGTACTGTAGTAAATAAACTCTGCCATGAGCTAATCTACACTTTAAAGAAATTCCCAAAAAAACTTGCAAATGCTGTTTGATCCTAATCTTTTTGCTGGGAATGATCATCATACACCTCATATTTGAATATTTTTGGGTTAAATCTGAAGCTGTGCAATGACTTCATAGTGGCTTCTCTAAAAAAAAAACATCTAAAGCAATTGGTGAATAACATCAGTGACATTAGCATTCATCTGGCATCAACTCTGACTTTTCAACAATTCCTGAGAATATCAATCAGTTCTTAAATAAAACTCTTTCTTAAGCTGGTCCATCAAACAATGAAACTACCTTCAGTCCCAAATGACATGAGAGCCACACCACCTGGCTGACAGTGGACTGTCTGATATTATTATTACCTCTCAAAAGCTGCTGCTTGTGGTTGAGGCAGTCTCTCTCAATCGTGGCAAGCTCATGTTTGTGTTGCTGGATGATCTTCTTCAGAGCGCTGTCCAGATCCTGCTGCTGCTTCTGAAGAAACTCTTGTTCCTGGACCAACAACAACACAGGTTATAATTTCCATTTAAGACCACACAAATCCAGCTAATCAACTCTACAACAGACAGTGGATTTGAGAAAGGCACTGAACCTCTATACACAATAATCAATGATGCATCTTGGCCTAATTAGTGAGGCACTTATACACTGACAGGAAGCATCATTACTGCAACAAAAAACTTTTAATCAAGACATTAAAGTGGCACAGACTTTCTGAAGTCGTGTGTTTCTGTGTGTTTGTGGCCTGCAGGCTTTCTGCCAAGTTTACCTCAAGCTACTCTGCTGATGAACCAGACAGTTACAACTGGCAATAAAGACGGTTTCATCTGTTTGTCTGTCACATTAATCTGGCCTAGTTGGCTCAGCCAGCACAGAGGAACCGGACATTTAACAGTGCAGTAAATCCTTTCAGGCTATAAATGTCTAAAGCAGTGTTTCTGCTATGTACATTTTGCAGCGGGAGCCTGCCACTACAAAATTATTCCTGCCGCTGCTTCAGAATTTTATGAAATATCATAATGTTGCAGTTATACAACTATACTATAGCTTTTAATTGAAATGACAGATACACAAAGCTGACATGTAGCGTCACCTGGCTGAGGAGAGAGGGAGACAGAAAGGAGAAAAAGAAAGGCGAGAAGACAACAGATCGAAGTAGCCTAACTAACGCCAAGTCAGATAGATTTTACAGTTTAACCCTAACAACCTGCTGTACACCCATTACATACTGTATGTGGTCAAAACAAGAGCAAGCTTATCAATACCAAGTAAGAAACTTTAAGTACTGGTCACTTCCACACTAGAGATTTATTGATTATATAGCACTACTTCTGCTTTTGCATGTACTGCTGCACAGAAAAGACAGTGTGTGCAGTTTGAAGAACAGCAAGTCAGTAAGAGAGACAAGAAAGATGGCAAATCACAGGTGGCACCACAACACACGGGGGGGTTCACTTACATCCTGAATGGGAGTGTTGTACAGGGGGCACGAGGACAACTGAAAGGGCTGTATCATAACATGGGCCACTCCCTGTGGATCACAGTACATTACCCTCCTGCACTACACTAAACACTGTGCGCGCACACACACGCACGCACACTGAATCCGTGGTGGAACTACAAGTTGAGATGGACGAAAGAAAAGTCTGCAGTTAAAACTGTATCAAATGGCACAGTAAATTACTGCTGGTTAACTCTGTGTATATGCTGCCTTCACAGTTTCAACAAAAGCCATGCAGAGGAAAGCTGAGAGGAACAGGCAGTGTGCATCAAAGTTCAAAATCCACCGCAAACTGAACCTTCATCACCTCCTCTGGCAGGGTTTGGATAATATCCTGTACATTCCATGATAGGGTTTGTCACCTGCTTTGGAGAAAGTGCCATCTCGTGTTTGCTCTGTGTCAGGGCAGCCACAAGCACCATGGAAATAAAATCAGACAAAGCTGTGCATAGATTAGGACTACATGAGGAAATAAATGAGAAGTGGCAGTGCAGACTGATTTAGCCCCTGTGAAAACGGTGGTTTTTTAAAACCCAAATGGGGGGGGGGGTGTCTGAGTATCAAAACAACCTAGTGTGCTATAAATAGGAACTTTATAAGCTCTCATTCTCTAAAGGGTAAAAGAAGTGAAAAGAAATGAGAAGCAAAAGAGCGATGCACTCCACTTGCTGACCTCTTTCTTGTGGTTTTTCAGCATGTTCTGGTACTTGGACAGCTCTTTGTCCTGTTCGGCTTTAATGCGTTTGGCCTCGTCCCTGAGCCGGCTGGTGTGCTCCTGCTCCAGTCTCTCAATGGTCTGCTTCTGCTGCCGCTCCAGGTTCTCCACCTCCTGGTCATACTGACGCTTCTTACCCTAGAGGACACAGAGAGTGGTACCATAGCACAGAAGTCAGTGGTGGCAAAAGAAGCTCCAACTATGCACTTTCAGTGGGTAAATTCTCAAGCATTTTGAAGCAGTTGTAAGGTGTCTGGTAGTGTAAGAGTGAATCATGAGTAGGAGAACATTTGTACAAGCATTTCAAAAGGCAGACAAAGTCAGTGTTAAAGAAACAGGGACACAGTACACAGCTGAGAGGCCATTAGCAGACACACTGTACAAATTGCTCACGAGCACAAGCTGCCAGAAACACTGAAAATCACTTAGTGTAATGCATGGAAGCCATGTGCCAAACTACATCAAAGAAAAGACGACCAGATCGACAAACAAGGAAGTACATGAAATGAAACACAAACAATACTCGCTACAGTAGTGACTGTCACAGTGGTGACAGCTGAAGTGAATCTCCTTCTGCTTTTTAACCTGCCAGCCTCTAAGGCTAACTTATAGAACCCATAATCTGGAATGCTACAAAGCAGAACACACTTGGATGAGTCATTGTGATCTCCAGATGTGGGAAAAGTGTAAAAGACAAACCTAAATTTAACAGCCTTTTTTTTTTACATGTCCAGCTGCTCCCTATAGTCCATAGCAGTTTCCTTGTGGTATTCACCAATTTCTTCATCACATGTTATGTAATTGCAAGAGAGGCGTGTGTAGTGAAGAGTGCTAAACCAAAATAAAAGAACGGATTGTCCATAGGAGGTGTTGGATCACAGGCCGCCAAACTGATTTCTATGATAAAGCAAAAGCTGTTCCACACAGAAACGCTTCCTTTTCAGGGAGAAACCATCAATGGGCCTGCTTAGAGATACAGAATACAACTGTAAATATTTACAGGGTTATTTTTAGTTCAAAGGGCGTGTGTGTGTTTCTCAGTGCGTCTGCTCCTGTCTTTTGCTATTTGTGAGGACCGTGGCAGACCATGGCATGAGAAGACAATGGACACTGAAAGCAGTACTGAACAGTGAGGACATCAGCTAAGTTCTTGAAAGACCTGGTATAGCTAAAGGTAAGAATTAAGTTAATATACGCGTAGGGGTTAGGACAGAAACACACAAAGCCAATGTAAAGGAACAAGCACAGATGAAGGCTGACTGCTATGTTGCCTTATGTCAGCTTTGTCTGGGTCAGTCAGGTTGGAAAAGTGACACCTGAACACACTGCACAGGCAACAACCAATGGCCAACTAGCATGCATGTTCAGCGCCTGTGTAACAGAACTAACTCCTCCTACCAGCAGGGATCTGTATTCACCATTCAGAAAGTGAAAGAAGAGCTAATACAAAGGTAAACAAAGCAGCTGTCATTTGCCACAGCTGCTTTGTTTATAGCTCTTCCTAAATTGAGAATATGTCTGATAAGAAGTTGTAAATGACACTGCTGTTCGCTGTGCTTGGCCTTTTGGTTGTTGAAGAAGAAAGGAGGCTATGGAGGCTAAAAAACAAAGAGAAACGGCACTAAATGGGTGAAATCATGGATACTGCAGTGACAGGCTCAATGGGCTTTCCTGAACCATTCTCTTCATGTGCATTGATTTGCTAAGCTTAACAGCCAATCAGAGTGGTCAACGACGAGGCCCAACCGCCAACGCCGATTCAACATGTCAAATCAGCCAAAAGCCAGTGACAAGGACTGACTAGTGGCAATGGTCTGGGACATGCCGGGAGGACCAGCCCTGACAGATGCCCACCGATGGCCTGATGGTGGCTGATGGCCGATTGTTGGCTTGGTGTTTCTCTGCCCTTAGGGTTTCAGGAAAACTAGGAGAACCAAGCACATCATTCCTGTTCTTAAATCCATAACGAGGCCCAACCGCCAACGCCAAAGAGATTTTAAAGGCAAGGCAAGTTTATTTATATAGCACATATTCATACACAAAGGCAATTCAAAGTGCTTAACACAATGTACACAGAAAGATAAAACATTAAAATGCATATAGATATAGCACTAGAATGCAAATTAAATAAAACATTAAATATCACTTAAAAGCAACAATGACATGACAGTATAAATAGCAACATGCTTGAGAAGATACCTAGTACATTTAGGATAGCTGTGGCAGACTATAAATTCTCATTGTTCTCATATTTTGTACCCCTTGTAAAGTGCTTCTGCTAATTAATAAATCAGCCAGTTGTATGGGGCCAAAATATATTTCTGAGCTCCCTGAAGAATACAAACCCAGCAGGGCTCTGTGATCCTTAGGAAAAAGTCAGCTGGTAAAACCTCAGGTCAGAACCTAACAGGGTGAAGCTGCTTTTAGCTACCATGTGGCACACAGATGGAACAGACTTCCTGAGGAGCTTAAATGTGCCCCAACTCCAGCCACTTCTGAATCCAAACTCTGCTGTCTCAGCACAGCTTTGCTCGCTGCTATCCCGCATTTTGTCCTTGCAAACATAATATTACTAGCTTACTCTACTGAGAGGTCAATAGGATTGTAACTGTGATAGTGAATTATAAGAACATCCTCTGTTGGACCACAAGGCAAATTACATCAAATGGTCTGTTGCACCTACTGACATAGTGTACATTGTTGGATTCGACCAAGTCATTACAGTTCAAATTATTATTTCTTCTTTAACATGTTCAAAAGAATGTTTGACATTTAAATAAAAAGTGACAGCGCCAGTTGTCAGGCATAGTAGGCCCACAAAGGTGTTTGCTGAGCATATAAAGAAACGCAAGTAATTTTATTGGATGCATTGGAAAGTGCAAATTAAAGATTTTAAAAGGGAAGTTAGAAGCCTAACCACTGACAGAAACTCACCATGGTCTCCTGTTCAAAGCGGCGGTAGATGTGTTCTTTTTGCTGCTGGAGCTTGTTGCTGAGCTGCTGCTGGGCCCTGTGTTCCTCCTTCTGCAGGAGACGCAGCTCCCTCAGCTCTTGACGCCTGGAGAAGAGGCGGCAAAGACAATTGGAAGGTGATGTCAGAGGGAAAAGAAATCATGTTAAATATATGTTTGGTATGATGTGGTGATGTGAAGTACTATGCATAAGTACAATAAACCAAAACATAATTCTGCACTTAGAGCTTAACTCCACACATAAAAGTATACTGAGGTTCACGGACAACTCATTTCCTTAAATTCTGCATAACGATACCAGAGGAGTATGTAAATGAAGACGGATGAATACCTCAGGAATCTCATTTCCTCATTCTTTGTGTCATTGTCAGTGACTATCTTTGATGTAGTCACGCTAACTTCCACTCCATCCACTATGAATTTGCGGGTCTTCTTTAGTGTCTTCTTCTGGCGCTTGGTGTCCTGAAGGGAAAAAAAAAACATATGTACATTATGTGTGTACAGTATCTGTGAAAATACAGCTTCTGGTACTTCAAAGAGCTGATATGATAGAGATTCAGTAATTCCATGCAACAATTTGCAGGCTAAATTTTCAACAAGATTGAGTGTGTGCACTATGTAGGCTACCTGTATGGACACAGATCCAGGTTCTTTTGTTTTGGACAGAAAACTGGAGATGGACAGATTAAGTTCTACGCTGCTGCTATCAGGAGCTGAGCCACTCCCAGAGTCAGAGTCTCTCTCTTTGTCATTCTTTGCTTCGTTTGGAATTTTCTTCTCGTCATCTGTGTGTACTGTATCCTTTTCAGTAGGCTTATCTCCATTCTCCTCTCCTGAGGCAACTTTGTCTTGTTCTGGTAATGTCACTGTGACCTTTAGATGTTTGTACTGGTCCACCTCCTCTTGCTCCTCTGCTGGTGTGTTTGATTGCTCCACAATGGCCATCTCTTCCTCCTGAGGAGCCTCACTGACCTCTGAGCTCTCTGCGATAGTCTCTTGTTTGGTGAGAAGCTCAACTGTGTCCACTTCCTTTTCATCCTCAACAGCTATCTCCTGCTGCGGCATCTCCTTAACAGGTGCCTCTGGTTCAGTCCATAGTTCTGGTGAGGCAACATCTACTCTTGTTTCTGGAAGGCTTTCTTCCACAGGTTTCCGTTCTGCCTCTTCATCCCCAGCTGGACTGTCTGAAACCTGCTCAGTACGCTTTTCTGCTGCAGGAGCAGCAGGCTCCTCCACAAAGCTGCCGTCCACCACATGGTTGCAGGGGAGCTCAGTGGGGGTGGACACTGGCAGAATTGTCTCAGCCTTCTCAGGGACTGATTCCAAGATGGAGGGAGAGAGTGGGATCTTCTCATCCTCTGAGCTGGCAACGCTGGCATCAGATGGGGCACGTTTATGGCCCTGAAGCAGAAGTAGAAAAAAAGAGTTAGCGAAGGTAAAAATGCTGGTTTCTCCAAAAGCTGAAAAACAACAGTATACTAATGTAAAGACCAGTCACCCTTTGAACTGAAATGATGTCAGTTAATTGGTTCACATCACGTTAATGGTTATGAGGCCAGAGTGGGTGGAACTTGTCTTTGATACAGCATGGAAAACATAATGCTTGGCATACAGTGTCAGAGGCAAAACATACAGACAGTCACTGCTGTGCAGAATCTGGTTGCAAAATGCGTCACTAAAGCAAGATGACCACCCCCATATTAGTGAAAATTTTGGCTTCACATTGGAAGTGGTGACAAATCATCCATTTTTATATACAGTCTATGGTCTGGCTATAAGCGCTTTGATACGGACTTGAACCCAGAACTTTCTTGCTGTGAGGCGACAGCAGGTTAATCAATAATAAATATTACAGTATAAGTTGCAACCTTAATTACTCTATATAAAACATAAAACTGTTTCTACTGCTGAATTGGAAATGCAAACATAAATATATAAGCTCAAAAATGTTAGCATAACAAACTGTGCAAGTCCACTTGTCTGGTTTTGATTAATTTTCACAGGTTAGAACAAGGTTAATTATTTAAACAAACAACAAAAACATACTGTTGAATAGTGAAATTGTTGTACAACCAGCAAATAATAATACAAAACAGCAAACATAACCTACTGCGTCCTTCTCATCAATGTAAATTCCCCTTGCAAATGATTTGCCAACTAATTTGAGTAAACATTTACTGACCAGATGTGCCTCTGTCTCTTCCTCCTCTTCTTCCTCCTTGTGCTCTTCAATCTCCTCTGTGACCTCAGCCTTGGCCTCAGCTATAAGCTCCCTCAGTGGTTTGCTGTCCATCACACTGGACACAAATGAATGCTGCACACATGGCAACAAAAAACAAAACATAGTTAGATATTAAGATTTTATTTAAATGTTAACGTGGTTAAATATTAAGATTTTATTTAAACGTTAACCCCCAGTGCACAGCAAATGCTCTGGCAAACCTGCTGCAGTAAAATCACTTAAACATAATTAGCAGCAAAGACTGGGCACCCTACTGACAACTAATCCCATAGGTGTTTAAATATATACAGCTAACAGTGTAATAGCTATACAAGATATAACAAAGTGCATCCAACAAAAACATATTAAACAAAACAGGCTGAAAACCACAAGTGTTCTTTGCTGCATCTTGTTATGCTCTCTGAGTGCAATTTCCAATGAACAAAAAATAAATAAATAAGTAAAGTAAGTAAACTACTTAAATGCAAAGTTAGACAAGACAACATTGCCTTCTTTAACTTAGAAATCTGCTGCACGTATTCTATTGCTGGCCTGAGAATATGTAGCTTCTTTGATATCAAAACCTTCACTGGTGGCAGACTGCCGTTTTGTATTTCCAAACCCATCGAGTCTTCGTGTGTGCAGAACAATCCTTTAGATGCAGTGTTCTTTCCTGTATGTGTGCGTGTGTGAATGTGTCCCTTATGCCTCTCTATAAGTAAGTGGCTCTGACTTGGCCGAGCACCTTAAACCCTATGGAAAAAGAAAAGCCTCCTCCGCTGACGTCAGCTCAAGCACAAAGGGATGAGTGTCAGCCTTGCCGGAACAAATTGTTTAGTAGCTGACACAGACCTGAGACACGCAGGTAGACATGCTGTCTGGGACTTTGCTGCTTAAATTGTGAATGGCAGGTGGTACATGGGCACGGGTTGGGAAAACAAGGATTATCAGTTCATTTAAGGGGCCCGGAACAGAGCTGAGAGAACGGATAAATACCAGAATAGGGGTTCAGAACTTGAGTGAAAATGTTACCTGTAGAAGCTGTGTTGCATTCCATCGGTTGTCCACATTCTTGTCCAGACACCGCTTTAAGAAATCACTGAATTCTGTGGACCTAATGGGTGGAAGTGGTAAAAATTCACTTAAAAACTGTATGTTTGGTGAACAATGTATTGCTCAACCCCTTCAAGAATCTTAGTATGGCTAAAATGTAACAGCGCCCTCTCACACACGCAGTCAGCTGAGCAGAGAGAAAACAGACAATGTGAAGGATCACTCCACAGTGCAACAATCAGCCAGTAACCTAGACTGTATGCACAGTTTATCAAACAGCTGAACAAAGACTTGCAGAATTGTAATGTCTTCACCACTTTGCCTGCCATCCACTCACCTCTAAAGCAACAAGTGAAGTCCTCCTTTTACCTCCAAACTGTATGTCTTTTCACTAGGGCTGGCCCCTCAAAGTCAACTAGGCGAATTATTAGTCATAAGGCCCATCAACTGACTGAGACTCTTTTAGATGAAGGTTTGTTTTTAATTTATTATAGTTTAGTTTTTGTCAGCCAGTGTGCATTACAAGAGAAGGTCCAGCCCCCACTAGTTTGACATCCTCCTCCTCATTTTGATGTGCCGAGCAACAATTAGCTCAGTGCTTCCTCCTGTGGTCAGGGGGGATACCATGTCCAACTGTCCAATACATGGATGTATAAGGTCCAGCTACACTATTTAACAAACTGCTACCCAGAACGAAGAGAAAAATACAACAAAATCCACTAGGAGAAGCCACATAAAGGTGAGATTTGTACTTTATTAGAAGTGTTTAGTTAGTAAACTAGGCTATAACCATATCTCAGAGGAAAAAATTGCCTATAAGAAAACTGTTTCAACAGAAACATAAGTGAACTGCCTGTCTCATTATTCTGACAAACCCATGTGGCAGCCTGACATTATATACTGTCAATTTAAATAGGTTGCAATGTAACTAATACATCATATGCAGCTGTCTTTTTATTTTTATATGCTCAGAAATATGTTCCTGTCACTCTTTTGTTTTTAAATGTCAATGTGGTCAAAATCATCACTGAAATTCAGGCCAGTTGATTTTCTGACAGTTTAGGCTATGTGTATTAAAAAAAGAAAAAGAAAAAGAGCGAATAGTTGCACTGAAGAGCCGACTTTTTGGAATTCATTTCACTACCTTGGGAATCTATGTGGTTGTGTGGGGGAGATGCAGCGACCGCCAGTTGGATTTACCGACCCTGGAGCTACTCGGTGGGGACTTAACAGTTAGTTTAAAAACCACACATGTCGCATGTCTGTTAATGCCTTGTTTCTGTAGAGAGAACAGTTGTTAGGCTGGAGAAGTTACTATGTCTGCATTATGCCAGTTAAAATATGGGGTTTCTCAACTACCCGCTCTGTGGTTCATTGTGCTGTCCACTTGTGATGCAACACCGGCAGCAGGAGGTGTGTGCGTACATGAACTATCCTCTCGTTTTCAGGAAGAGGCTCTCTTGTATTATCATTCTGAAATAATTACAGACTATTTGGAGTTATGAAGGGTGCAAAGCTAATCTAGAGGTACCCAAGATTAAACATTAAATGGCTAGAAATGAGCAAAATGAGCATGGGATGGGCTCTTTAACCAATCAGGGGCCAAAGCTCTGCTCACGCCCCCCTCATATTCCTGGAACTTGATTTTTTTACTACCTCCTGAGAAGTGATGAAATTTAGCTCCTGTAACACAGCCCCAAAGTGGAAGCACGGCAGTGGAAATAAACCCAGGACCTGTGACAAGCATTACTCGGCTCAACATGTTTTGGTAGGTTCCTATAGCTTCATTCTATTACTCACCAGCGTGATGGCTGCAGCAGGGTAGGAGGATCACATGATTGGGTGGCTCAATCTGTGCCAGCTCAATCAACGTTACCCCGAGTGACCAGATATCGGCCTTATAGTCGTATGGACGGTCCTTGGAGGTCTCACACATCACCACCTCAGGAGCCATCCTTGAAGGAAAGAAAGGAAGTCAGTGTGTTTACAATAAAGGCAAAAAAAAGAAAGAAAGAAAATCTAATGGTGCAAGATAGTGTACTTTCAAATTTCTATCTCAAATAAACAAAAGGGGTGTTGATGACTAAGAAAACATTTATTTTATATTCCACTCACCAGTAAGGCGTTCCAATGAAAGAGTCCCTCCTCTGCAGTGTTTTCGTGTTTTTGGCAGACACACCAAAGTCGGCTGGAGGATATGTGATCCAAGGCAAACCACAAATTAGCTAGAGGAACACCACTGTCATCATTCATTTCCAAGTGAAGCCATGCAAGTCCAAAATGAACAGTTTCTCTGAGCAGCACAACTGCTAATCTCATCAGTACATGGAAGGAGCGCAAAATAAAATTCTAAGAAAGCATATGCTGTTTTAACAGCCTCCTTACATTTGCATGAAGACATTATGCCTTGTTTGTGTGTGAGTAACGGCTCATCAGTGTCCTGGCAGGTAGTTGCACAGGCACCTCTATGTGCGTTATGTCACTGAACAAAATGCTTGTTGTGTGTAATTTTGATGAGCCTATTTCACCAGCAGTGACTCATATCCCTCTAAGTAAGCTACATGACTGCAACTGCTGAGGACACATGTTTGTGTACACACTGAGCTGCAGGAGTGGTGTTGCATAAAGGTCACAAATTCACATGATCATTATCATGGCCATGCAACAGTAAGAGTGTGTTTAAGTTACCATGAATTACTTTTACAGATCTTTTGTAAAGACACTGCTAGTTTTACACATCATGTGTATGTTCACTTGTCAAAGAGAGAACTATTCAACCTGTGGAAACAGTTGTCAACAGTCCTCTGTGGCTCTGGAGGGTGAGTTTTCTAAATGTATTCTGATTATGTCATAATGGTGATTTTGCTTGTGGACTTGGAGAGAAAGTTGAAGTAGCAGACTTGAGATGTGATATGTATTTTGGACAACATGGGCATGTACCAGGTACGGAAGGTCCAATGAAAGATGCCACTGAGTTGCATTATGGTCAATGTAAGATCAAGTGTCTGTAGGAGGCCGATCTGTACTTCAGACTTAAAATCTGGATAAATCAGTTTCAATTTGAAATACACAAATTTATTTAATTAGTATTCATTTAATTTTCTTTATTACTTTTCTTTCTGGCAGGAATAATGACCAAAACTATAAAAACAAGGTGTGTGTAACACACTGTAAACATCATGTAAATATGGCAAGTTAAATGTCAGTTTTCTATGTCAAATGCTTCTGGAAATCTTCTGTAGCAGGAGCAAGAGCAGCACAACAAAGTTTTCATAAAGCCATGACATTCTTTCTTATGGCTGTTTTACATGCACAGAGTATGGTGTCACGAGAAGGATCATGTGAACCTCTCAGGTCTTTGCATTTAAAGGGCTAAAAAGTCAGATGAATCCACATGATACCAGTTTTTCTGTTATGAAGACCTGTGGGTGAATGAAGAAACATAACACTCCACCTACTGTAGATAATGGAACCCCACAGTGTTTCACATGCATCAACACAGCTATGAAAGGGTGATATCACAATACATTCTTGAGCCATTGTCAGCAATTCAGTCACAAGGAAACATGAGGAAAATAAATGGGGACTAATGGCAGCACACAGCCTCCGCTGCTGGACTATGAACTCATTGAAAACATACATAACTGAACCAGGAAAGATAGAGAAATGATGAACTTTCTGGTGTTATCAATGGTATCAAACTTTACACTTACCCAGTTTGACATCACCATCCAGAGTGAGGAGGATGTTGCCAGCCTTCAGGTCTCTGTGAATGATTTTGTTGTCATGGAGGTAGACGAGGGCCTGCAGCGTCTGCTTACACACCACCCTGATCTGAGGCTCGGTCAGCGCTCGCTCCAGTTCTGAAATTGGAGTGAGGGTCACACAGACTCATGCTTAGCATTGCTCACTCAGGAATACCCCAGTGCAACCTAAGCATGTTAATAAGGAGGAGGCTACAATCATTGTATTGATGACATGTACAGTAGGTGGTCTACAGCGCCTTTTTGATTTCTTAAGGTGGCCTGTTGTTTTTACTTTGCTGTTTAGCACTGCTTTCTGAACAGTTTTATTTTTGATGTTATAACGTGTACTCAAAGGGAAATTGCTGACTCACCAAGCATGACAGCATCCACAGCCCCTCCTGCACAGAACTCGATGAGGATCTGTCAAACAGAGGAAAAAAAAAAACAGTCATGTTTTTATCCAACATCTGCAACGCAGGTATTTGTTTATGTTAAAAGTGTGAAACATAGTCTCTACTCAACAAGGCACTAAATACACTGGCTGGACCTAGGGACATGTACAGTCTCTTATGAGGAGTCTGGAGTGTTCTCAGGGTCAGAGTGGAACATTTCATGTGTTTGGACTGTATGCATACAAAACTCAAAGCACCTTATTATCATCATCATGATCAACACCATGGGCCCAGAATCCTCAGTTTACTATGAGTGTCCCAACCTGTGCGTATAAAGTATTCAGTGCTTAAAGACATTTAGGAGCTTTAAGCATGGCTGCTGACATAAGAGGATTGGCCCAGCTGAAACCAGACCCTGGAAAAGGTTTCACCAAGCTGACAGTGTGCTTGCTAGCTATATTGCCAGAGCATAAGCCTTATTCTTTAAATAGATTTAGTGTATCTATACACCCCCTCAGACAGGGGTGTGGAAGGTAAGGAAGGTAAGGGGTGTAGCTTGAACACAAAGCTAGCCTTACAGCATGATGCTAAAGCAGTCCTCTACACTGAGATGGGGGGAAGACTTGGCCACATGTCACACATAAGGAAGAGGAGGGAAAGCAGTACTTCTGCAATATTATAACCATTGAGAAACATGTGGTTGACACGTTGGTTAAGGCCCCAACTTTTCTTATGCGGTTTTCCTGTGTTTAAAATGACAAGTGATTACATTTTTCTTGAGCCGATTCTCGTCACCAAGGTTCAGTGGCATTCTACAATTCAGTTGAGCTTTCCAATACTGTTCCACTTTCAACAACAAAGCCCTTACAAGACATACAATGCCTCAAGTCCAGGAACACTCTGGCTATTCAACAAGCACACCATTCTAGTGTTTCTCTGTAGGCGTGCTGTTGTTTTAGTGGATCCGCTGTAGTACAATGGCACCCACAGTGGTTTTTCAGAGTGACAGCAGGCAGAGAGGAACCATGGGCCAGATTGTGGCTTCCTCTCACTTGTTTATTTCACACACACAAATACACGGAGAAGCATGCAAGCACATACAGTATTTTCTAGTTCATTCATGTGGCACAGAGAAGGAGGATGTGAGACTTTAAATGATCTCACATACAAGTTCAAGGCCTAAAAGGATGAAAATACAGTACCAGTTACATCACAGCAACAAACACATGAAAACAGAGCTGACAAACTGGGGAACACAGCAAAAGGGAGACAAATGTCAGAGAGTGGCACCAATATAATATGCAGTGAAGTGCAGTTAGTCACATTCCAGACTATCTTGGAATCAAGCCTTTCATCTCCAGGAGGAAATGTCCTGGGCACTCTCTCTTCTTTCCACAAACAGGTGCTACAAAGCCAAGATAAATCAAGAGACACCCTGTTTCGGCCTGTGCCCATTGTTCAGAAGACAATGGGGAGGAAAAGGGCTGAGTGCTCGGCTAAATGTACTGAAATCAAATACTCAGGTAATCACGAGCATTTATAATGGCCTGATCGCCTGTTTAGACACTTTTGTACTGACTCACACGAGTGAAGCCATGTTTGCTCCAATCATGTTAGCAGCCTCCAGATGTATGTGCCCTGTTTCTAAATCTGACCTGTGTCAATATACTTCAATATACTGCTCTATCCACCGCACTGTCGCCTCCGAAGTGAAGGGCAGTGACTTGATGAGATAGCAACTTAAACACTCTTTTTTTGCCGAACAACAGGTCCCACCAAGAAACATTCTATACTGTATATGACAGTAGGGGTGGAAACGTTTGGCAAACTCACAGTTTGATTTGATTCAGGTTCTTGTTGTCATGATTTGATTCAGAATGATTTTCAATTAAAAAAATGATTTGATTCAATAAAAAAAAAGAAGGGCACTATATTTTGGCCCTTACGCTAGTTTACTGTGTCAAACAGCTGACTCCTGTCCATTGCCCACTGAGCTGCTAATAACGCTTAACAGACAGTTTAGCGAACTGGTTCTGATGAGCATCAAAATCATAATGCTATCTAGTAGTATGTAAAGTACCAGAAATTATAAGTATATAAGGTTATTAAAATTAGCTCTAACTTGACCAGCTACAGCATCAAATGTGATGAACACAACAAAACAAGCAAGATAAAAACAAAGACATTTAAAAATGAGTTTTAATCAAAGCAGATGGATTATCAACTGGTATGATGATTAACAGCTTGAAAAGCAGCTTGCTGAGGATGCTGGTGTAAACTTTGGCTTAAAATTTTAATAAGAATGTAACTAATGGAAAGAAAACTTTATATAGGCTACTATAAACGCCTTGCAGTAACACTACACTGATGACATTATCATTACAGTTGCCACTGCCATTATCAGAAGTGCAGCATACAAAAAAAAGTGAAGTATTTCCAGTATTTCCTATGTGATTTATAGAGCTTGTTTTCCATGGGGAGAAATGTAACTTTGCTACCACGTTTGTTCTTGTTTTTTTGCCAAATTTTAGGCCACTAGTAAAACATTTTTGGGTACTCAATTGTAGCATCAAGATTGATTTATTTTGTTCTTTAGAAAGCAGCTTTGCTAAATCAAACTGTGTATTAGCTCCATATTGTCCCCTGTGATTCCACAGCTCCTCCTACTCACCCAGAGTTTGCTCTCATAATAAAAAGCATCAAGCAGTTTGACAATGTTTTGGTGGTCACACGAGGCCAGGATGTCAATCTCCACCATGTAGTCCTCCAACTCCTCTTCAGTCTTAGTGTCAATAACTTTGGCTGCAGCAAGGACACCTGTCTGTTTGTTCTGAGCCTGTAGGATGAGAATATTAGTACATGGTTATCTTGCTTGTCTCATGTTGTGATCTAACTAGTTCATAAAATGTGTCTTTGCTCAAATTTTCTGCTCCATATTAACACACACTCATAGAAGCCAAATATGGCTTTAAGTACTTTAAGCTATCCTGCCCTCGGGCCTGTGACAAACACCTCACAGAGCCTTTAAGAGGATCTAAAAGCAACAAATGTTTTGTTGTAGGTCCCAGTAAGTCAGTAGAAGATGAGACATGTCTTGTCAAAGTGGAAATTTTTCCTGTTTCGTTTGGATTCTCTACAAGCAGGATGTGCTCAATGAAGTTGTTGGATATGGGAACCCAGCCACTTCCTGCGTACCTGCCCATGTCCTGTGATCAGCCATACACATCACTTTAAATAAAAAAAAAAATCTATTTCCAGTTACTACAGCTGACAGCTTGTGTTTCACTATGAATCAACATAATGTGTGGACTACCTCAGTGATGCATCAGTGCCCAAATCTCAGATATATGAATGTTAAACTGTTATTTGCTATTTGTGGATCTCCTTCAGTTTGACTGTGGAGTGCCACTACCAGTAACACAAGCATTAACTGCTTCCAGGAAACAAGGATATTAAAGAACCTGTTTAGGTACTTTTCATTTGTTGAACAGTAAATCTAGTTCACGTAAGCCTTGCTGCTGGGAAACTGGCAACCTGTGACCAAATCACTGAGCAAGAAGATTAGGCTTAATTTAAGTATGATACAAAGTAACATTGAAATCTTGGGTAAGTCCGATTATTTCAAAGTGTCCATAAACAGTCTGAAAACAAAGAACAAAAGAGAACATATGAACTGTGCTCAGTACTTAAACCTACAGGTACTGCACTTGGTGGTAGGCCTCCTGTGTGATCAAATTTACTGTCATTCATGCAAATTAAGTTTATGGCTCTGGCTCTGCATTAGCGTCAAACCAAACAATGGCACTATTAAAATGATGACAAGGGGGTCAGCTTTCTGAACATGTAAAGGGGATAATACTTGGATGATTTGTTTGCCTAAACTACACTGTTCTGCGTGGATTAGATTGAAATTAAAGCAGCTGTGGGGCAAAAGCATTGATATCTGTATGTATATATGTTCAAGGAAATGTTAACTTTGTTTGACTTTCACTTTGCTTGCTGGTTGCCAGTACTGAATGGATCTGATGACGTCTGGTTGTCTTTCACATGAAAACAAACTTCATAGCGACTGGGTTGGACAAACATGCTGGATAACTGTGGAGAAAGAGCTCAGCAGTATCTGACACCACCATCAGTGGGCCATTGTTTTGGTTTGGGGTTGGTGCGTGGGTCAAAGCAATACAAAACTAAGACGATACTGCTTGCACGTAGAGTCAGGCATCAGAGGAGGAACTGCCGGGAGTAGAGAGGACTCCCAAACACCCATTTAGTAAAAACACGTGTGTAACAATATTGTAAACAGTGGAAGGGCTATTCTCTACAAAGAGCAGCTCTGAAGGAGACATCGCCTACCTTGAACACTTTTCCAAAGGCTCCATCTCCCAGTTCGCCAATTATTTCCCATATTTCCTCTGGGTTTTCATCTCTGCGCACATGTTCATACTGCTTCTTCTTCTTCTCAGCTCCCAATTTAAATATTTTACGGAGATTAAAAAATGACATGCTGAATCTTGGGACATTCAATTACAAAGTTCACAAAGGGAATTCACTTTATAACGCCAAAGTAGTGTCGTTTTTTGAATAATTGTTTACTTTAGCACAAGTCTTATGTGTCCCATTAGTTGCAAATATCCTTCTGGTCAACACAGGGTGTAACGTTAGCTTTCAAAAGAGTGAGGACCAAAACCTAGCTTAGCCTTTGACACTGTTTTGGCCATTCTAGAGAACAGCTCTTTCGCATATCGTGGGTAAGGGTCATTGTTAACCCTTAAAATAATAATTACAGGTTAACCTAGACATGTCACAGCATCTGAAATCTTCCTAAAAAGACCGTATCTTGACGCGAAGTAGTACGCGAAACTGGTCGTTGTTCCAACTCCTGACGACCCACTGGTCAGACAACCCTGTGGGGCTCTCTCCTGAACCAAAAGACAAAATGAGTAAGGCGTCCTTCCAAATAGTTATATTCCACAGAATAATTCATTAGTTTCCTTGGTGGTAAAACTGGAATAATTAGTCAGTGTTGTAACATTTAATAAACCGGTAAAAACAGTCATATTCCCTTGGTTTGGGACGGTTTTAGTAATCTAGCGGATTTAGTGTCGTTGCGCGTTCGCGAATGCGCGCGGCGATGGTTCTTTCTCTTCGTGCTCCTCGTGTTTGATATTTCCCCGGGGTAACATCAGTGTTCTGCTGCCCTCCTCTGTATGGGAAGCCAAACACAACGTATGTCAGAAGTGTTTAAACTGTTCACAGCAACACTGCAGCATATATCCACGAAGAGTAATAATCAGTCTGCTATGTACTACTGTTCGTTGTATTATTATTGCGCTCCACCATCGCCAAAGTCAACACGACGGTTAAGTTCTTTGTGTCCCTGAAACTACATATCCCATAAGACACTGCGAAACGCGGACGTACTATAGAAAAATATTTCAAATATAACTCTTTCCAATATAAAAATATTCGAATGCTATTCTGCAAGTGTATCATTTCTAACATTTTACATACATATTACAGAGTCAACATAAACATCAAGCAGCCTTAGACTGTATGAAGAATAGAGTGGTAGGTCTGGATAGGGACTGGGATATTAAGGGCCTGTTGGAGATAGGGAATAACCAACCTTTGGTACAAAGGGAAATATTTAAATCTTTATAGGAGACAGGGCTTATGTGAAGAAATCACTGACTGCATTTCTACTCATAGAGGAATCATGTCACACTGCAGTAGGTGGCGGCAGACATCTTTTAATTTGGTCTGTAGAACGCCATTTAATTGAAGAAGAAGAAGAAGAAAAAGAAGAAGAAGAAGAAGAAGAAGAAGAAGAAGAAGAAGAAGAAGAACAAGAACAAGAAGAAGAACAAGAAGAACATCATAAACATAAACATAAGCATGAACATCAAGTAGCCTAAGGAGTAACGTGACTGATACTTAGGTACTTCTGAAGACTGTAGCTAGATTACGTTCTTGCCAACCTAGGAAAAACACGGGAAGGAGTAAATTATAAGCTTCAAGTTTCATGATGAAATGCAGGCAGCTACGATGGAGCAAGTGGAAGAACCCCCCTCTTTGTTGTGGGGACTTGACCCGATATTTTCTGCCTTCGCCAGACTGTATGTCAGAGACATTCTGCAGATGACCGAGTCCACACAGGTGCCAGGTAGCAAACACCAGTTGTTTCACTCACTTCCTGTTTGCTTGGGCGTAACTTCTGAACTTGTACAGTTTACATTTCAACTTTGAATATTCTTGCAGCTAACTCTATATTAACGTTAATAATAATATGAATAAACGTACGAAACTAGCTATAAAACAATATTAATTAACGTTGCTGTACATTTGTTGTAGTTAGCTAACTGTTAAATACTCTACAGGCTCATAACCAGCTTTATCAGATGTTTCCCTTTCTTTTACAGCATGTCTATCATTTTTCTGCCTTTTGTTTCATTTCATTTGATATTTCAAATCAGTATCATCACCTTGTGTTACAACTTTGAGTAACTAAGTTATGGATTTAAATTAGTTTAACATTAAATACACATTTAATTGACTGGTGTTTACGCTTCCTTCACAGGCATTTATTTCTACAACTCACATCCAATAAGCAAAGTTGATGTACTTGGAACTGTAGTTTACAAGAGAGAAAGAGAAGACTTCTTTTGTTATGGAGGTAACTTTGCTGTCTAGGTGTGAAATACACCAAAATGTTGTGTTTGATTATACAGTATTTCAGCAAATGCAGCATACGTGTCACTATCATGCATTAAGGTTAATACACAGTGTTAAGCGAAGTTCCACATTCGACTGCTGTTGATGTGGGGCTTTTTGGGACCCGCTCTGGCTGTGTCAGCAGTTCAGTGATAAGGTTGTACAGTGAGGAACAGAAGTATGTGAACACCCTGCGATTTTGCAAGTTTTCCCACTTAGACATCATGGAGGGGTCTGAAATTCACATTGTAGGTGCATTCCCACTCTGAGAGACAGAATTAAAAAAAAAATTCAGGAAATCACATTGTATGATTTTTAAAGAATTTATTTGTCTAGCACTGCTGAACATAAGTATTTGAACACCTGAGAAACAGCAAGAATTCTGGCTCTCAAAGACCTGTTACTGTGCCTTGAAAAAGTCCACCTCTACTCCACTCATTAATCTAAATTAGTAGCACCTGTCTGAGCTCTTTAAAGACACCTGTCCACCCCACAGTCAGTCAGACGCCAACTACTACCATGGGCAAGACCAAAGAGCTGTCAAAAGACACCAGAGACAAAATTATGGACCTCCACAAGGCTGGAAAGGGCTACAGGGCAATTGCCAAGCAGCTTGGTGAAAATAGATCAACTGTTGGAGCAATTGTTAGAAAATTTTTTGGTTGCTGTGGTCGTTTCAGGAGGGAATAGTGGCTTTGGGGTTTGATGATAAGAAAGGTGAGGAATCTGCCCGGAACTACAAGGGAGGAGCTGGTCAATGACATGAAGAGAGGGACCACAGTTTCAAAGGTCACTGTCGGTAGAACACTACGCCGTCATGGTTTCAAATCATGCATTGCACGGAAGGTTCCCCTGCTCAAGTCATCACATGTCCAGGCCCGTCTGAAGTTTGCCAAAGACCATCTGGATGATCCAGAGGAGGCATGGGAGAAAGTCATGTGGTCAGATGAGACCAAAGTAGAACTTTTTGGTCTAAACTTCACTCGTCGTGTTTGGAGGAAAAAGAAGGATGAGTTGCATCCCAAGAACACCATCCCTACTGTGAAGCATGGGGGTGGTAACATCATGCTTTGGGGGTGCTTTTCTGCGAAGGGGACAGGACGTCTGCACTGTATTAAGGAGAGGATGAATGGGGCCATTTATTGTGAGATTTTGAGCAACAACCTCCTTCCCTCACCCAGAGCATTGAAGATGGGTCATGGCTGGGTCTTCCAACATGACAACGACCCGAAGCA